TCCAGGAGGAGTAAGCTATGGGTTACTGCTGCATACATTTACCTTACGTATGAATTTATCCTTCATTGCACACATGGAACATATTTTGCTGGATTAATAACCTCTTAGGTGCATAACCACTCCCCAGCAACTGATTTTTTCATACCTTTACTTACTCAGCAGCAGGAGACGGACAGACAGCCAGGCACAATGGCGTTCCAAAGGGCAACATCTTCAGATGCAAGGGCAGAGCCAAGGGCAGAGTGCTGGAAAATGTAAGATAGCTGAGTACAGCAGTGACGGCATTGAAAACATGATGGTAATACACTTGACAGGAGGTGGCAATATCATCTGTATCACACATAATACTTTCACTCTACCATTAACCTCTTTAAAAAATTAATTACAGAAATTCTTTACACTATTCAGACAAGTTCTCTTTTGATAGCAGGGAACAGGGTGTGCCATATAGTTTTCTCTCTGTCATGCTGAGCCTACTGCACTTTTGTGTTTTTCTCTGTGAAGCTTTTTTGTGACAAATCCGATTGCCTTACACCTTGAAGATCATTGCTCTGCCCTTATCCTTTAGCGGAGTGGCAAGAGTTTTTCAGACTCCCGTTACATATCTCCCACTGACCATCTGCTATTACCACCTTAACGAGAAATCACTTGTTGAAAGGTGATTAAGTGGTTACAGTCCAGCACAAAGTTGCAAGCTCATTATACTACTTCCCCCTACAGTATTAAGCACTATCGATAAGCATCCGGCCGAGAGTCTTAGCTGATATGAATCAGTGCATTTCTACTATTTCAATGGGGTTACCTTGGTTTACATGACATTTAGCTTAAAAGCATTTACCATTAGGTTAATTTAGATTCCAGCCTTTGGTTAAAGTGGGTTTCTGTGTGCCATCCTTTTCACACAGAAGCTCAGGATAATCCAGGAAGATTCTTTTTTATTCTTTATTATTCTTTTAGTCATCAGGGATAGGATGTTTTAAAGACAATTACTGAATTATCTCTAAATAAACTGGGGGTTTTTGGTAGCACTCATGATGTGAGAAGTGGGTTTGTGTTTCCCCTCAGAGCACTGAGGTTTCCTGTAAAGCTATTCTGGCTCTGGATTTACGTACGATTTGCAGAGGAAGATCTATCCACTTAAACATTCCAGTTTAGGTTGTGCTGAGTCAGTTTTATGTACCAGGCTGTATAAAAAAAAGGAAAGCAAAAAAAAGGAAAAGTAAAGGCTGTTTAAAAAAAAAAAGGAAAAGTAAGTTTCAAATACAATAGGGCCAGAGGTAGTTCACAGCTTCTTAAACAGGTTTTTTTTCTTAAAGCAAACCCCTACATTTCTCTTCCCACATCAGGTATCTGCTGTGATCTGTTTCCACTAAACAAGAAGTAGTCTTTGCAGCTGTCTTGTTAGGGCTGTGGATTTCAAGACAATCTCCCAAATAAGTGTCACAAAACAAAACAGACTGAGATAAGTTGTTACAGCACATCTGTAAACAAGGATACATATATTCTTGTTTATATATATACTTATATATTAATACATTAGCAACAAAAGGCGGGCTAGGGAGAATCTCCATCCTTTATTAGATGTGGGGGGAAACAGTGACAAAGGATGAGGAAAAGGCTGAGGTATTTAATGTCTTCTTTGCCTCAGTCTTTAACAGTAAGACCACTTGTTCTCTGGGTACCCAGCCCCCTGAGCTGTAAGACAGGGATGGGGAGCAGAATGAAGCCCCCATAATCCAAAGGGAAATGATTAGTGACCTGCTACACCACTTAGACACACACAAGTCTCTGGGGCTAGATGGGATCCACCCAAGGGTACTGAGGCAGCTGGCAGAAGGGCTCACCAAGCCACTTTCCATCATGTATCAGCAGTCCTGGCTAACCAGGGAGGTCCCAGTTGACTGGAAGTTAGCAAATGTGACGCCCACTTACAAGAAGGGCCAGAAGCATGATCCAAGGAACTGCAGGCCTGTCAGCCTGACCTCAGTGCCAGGGAAGGTTATGGAACAGATCATCCTCCGTGCCATCATGTAGCACGTACAGGACCTCCAGGGGATCAGGCCCAGTCAGCATGGGTTTACAAAAGGCAGGTCCTGCTTGACCAACCTGATCTCCTTCTATGACCAGGTGACCCACCTAGTCGATGAGGGGAAGGCTGTGGGTGCTGTCTACCTTCAGCAAGGCCTTTGACGCTGTCTCTCATAGCATACTCCTTGAGAAGCTGGCAGCTCATGGCTTGGACAAGTGTACTCTTCGCTGGGTGAAAAACTGGCTGGATGGACGAGCCCAGAGGGTTGTCATGAATGGAGTTAAACCCAGTTGGCGGCAGGTCACAAGTGGTGTTCCCCAGGGCTCAGTACTGGGGCCAGTTCTGTTAAATGTCTTTATCAATGACCTGGACGAGGGGATCGAGTGCACCCTCAGCAAGTTTGTGGATGACACCAAGTTGGGAGGCAGGGTTGATCTGCTCGAGGGTAGGAAGGATCTACAGAGGGATCTGGGCAGGCTGGATCAATGGGCTGAGGCCAGCTGTATGAGGTTCAACAAGGCCAAGTGCTGGGTCCTGCACTTGGGTCACAACAACCCCATGCAGTGCTACGGGCTTGGGATAGAGTGGCTGGAAAGCTGTCCAGCAGAGAAAGACCTGGGGGTGCTGGTTGACAGCCGGCTGAACATGAGCCGGCAGAGTGCCCAGGTGGCCATGAAGGCCAACGGCATCCTGGCCTGCATCAGAAATAGCGTGGCCAGCAGGAGCAGGGAGGTGATCGTCCCCCTGTATTTGGCACTGGTGAGGCTGCACCTCGAGTACTGTGTTCAGTTTTGGGCCCCTCACTACAGGAAAGACGTGTGAGGTGCTGGAGCGTGTCCAGAGAAGGGCAACAAAGCTGGTGAGGGGCCTGGAGCACAAGTCTTATGAGGAGCGGCTGAGGGAACCGGGGTTGTTTAGCCTGGAGAAAAGGAGGCTGAGGGGAGACCTTATTGCTCTCTACAACTACCTGAAAGGAGGTTGTAGTGAGGTGGGTGCTGGTCTCTTCTGTCAGGTGGCTGGAGGTAGGACGAGAGGAAATGGCCTCAAGTTGCACTAGGGGAGGTTTAGGTTGGACATTAGGAAAAATTTCTTTACTGAAAGGGTTGTCAGGCATTGGAACAGGCTGCCCAGGGAAGTGGTTGAGTCACCATCCCTGGAGGTATTTAAAAGACATGTAGATGTGGCACCTGGGGACATGGTTTAGTGGTAGACTTGGCAGTGCTAGGTTAACAGTTGGACTCGATGATCTTGAAGGTCTTTTCCAACCTAAATGATTCTATGATTCTAAGAAAAAGCCAAACCGAGCTGCCTTTTATCATAGAGACACATAGCAGGAGTACAAAACTGCTGTGAAAAAAAGCCTGGCAGTGTGATTCAGGACATACCACACTAGGGGAATGATAGCCTGGCTGTACTTAGGTTTGGAAAAAAATTTTCTGAAAGGTTCTATTGCTGCCACATACTCTATTTTAGTTCTGGGGCTCATCCTCTAATGTCATATATATTCTGAGTAGTAAAGGAACCACCTGATGTCCAGCTTCATTTCAGGGAAAGGGAGGGCATAGGTATGATGGGCACTAGAAGACAAGTTTGGATGTACTCAGATTACTGGGAGATAGTTCAGAGGAGAGACACCTTGAAAGGTCAGTGTCAGGAACGCAGCATGCTAATGATGCTAATGATACAAACAACACCCAAGATAGTTAGGTCTTGATTTGGTGAAGCACTTATGTACATGTTGTACTTGAAGCACCTGAGCAGTTGTATTCATTTCAGCCAGGTGACCTGGATGCCTACAGCCAGGCTTATACCTCACCAGACAGGAGGTCCAAGTATTGCAGAATGCCAGAACTGATTTTTCTTGGCATTTATCCACACGCTTTAAATGCAAAGGTTAGTGCATCTTCCTTTCATAAAATTGCCTTCTGCTAGTGTTCATTCTCCTGCTTCCATGCTACTCTGATTCATGGCACAAGAAAAGCTTTCCCAAAGCACTCAATAACTCCTCTTCCCCAAAACACACACATTATCTGTATATATTTGTCTGTAACCCATCTAATCTCAAAAAATGAACAAATCACTTCTGTGCCCCTATTCTCTGATATCCAAAAGGAAAATATTGACTGTGAAAACAGTATTAGTTTTACTTTTTTTGGCATAATAGGACATAATCTATTATTCTGCTTATGATGACTGAGAAAGTCCCAGAAAAATGCAAAGCTTGCTGTTTTGAGATCTTACACTGATTGTAACTTATCACGTCATAGGCCCTTTTAGCACCAGAGACATCATTCTGGTTTAGCAATCCCTTCAGAGAATTCCTCCAACAAATATAGAAGACTGCCATCATGATGAGAAAAATCCTTTCCCCTAAAACTGTTTATCATCCAAGAATAAATAGCAATGAAAAGAATGGTTTTCCGAGACTTAAGGGGTCATAATCCATTTATTAGGAAGATATTACTACAATTATTGTACATAAGCCACTTACCCTATCCAGTGTCTTACAGTCATCTGAATGTCAGTTTAAAAACAAATTAAAAAAAAAAAAAAAGAAGATGAAGTTATAGTGCTATATCAACAGACAGCTGTCCTAGTGGGCACTGGGAACACAGAATGATTCACATTACTGAGCCGTGCAGTCATTGCCAAAGGAATGATGAGCTCACATTTCATTCCGATTCACATACTCGGTGTGGTTAGACTGTGAGGCTCACCCTTCCTCGCCTAACTGACGCCCCCCTCCCTGCCTCGACACCAGATCTGGCTCGTTAACATGTCTGGAATTAGCGCGAGCCTACCTCTCAGCTGGCAAGCCCAAGGGGCATACTTGGATTCCCAGGTTGGAAGATTATCTCATCCAGGCACAGTTCTCCCAAAGATATATAAGCAAAGCTAGCGTGGCGGTCCCTGCAGAGCTGGCCTGAGCATTTTGGAGTTTCAGCCTTACAGCCTTCAAACACCAGCAAATATGATGATGATGAAAGTAGAAGAGCTGGTAGGTACAACCTTCTTTCATTTATTCATAATCACTTTTCTTTCTAGACTGTCATTATATTAGGCAGAGAGAGACAACAACCTTTGTGGATCCTTGAAGTGATTTAGCAGGTTACCAGCACTGCTGTGCTATGGGTGCAAACCCTGTACATACTGTATGTTACCCCATTATATTCTCACTTTAACTTTTCCTTGGGAAGGGAGCTCACCATTGATAAAATGACATAGCTGTTTGGATTTTGCATCAGAACATAGTTCACCAGGAAGAAGAGACTGACCAAAATTTATCTATGTATTTTCATTTGACCTTGATTTCAGTTTTTATTTATTTAGAAGCTACTAAGTTAATGATCGCACTGAGTAATTCCAATCTAGTAAGGGACTGGGAGGAGGTATCAATGCAGAGAAACTGAAGTATTTTCTAATACTAAACAAAGAGTTTAGTAATAGTATTATTTTTTAATAATAAACTAACAGTTCCTAAACCCACTGCTGTTCACGGTATAACAAGCTTTGAAAAGTAATGTCTAAACCAGACCACAAGTAATGGGACATTCCACTGCAGGGTTCAGACTAAGAATGCCTGATTTGATCAATAAACTGGAAAACAGGAATGATCCAGTAAAACACTGGAAGATAATGCAGAAACTGCTTTTTTTTCCAGATGGCTATGTTAAGGTGCAACTGCCATACAGCCTAACTAGATAATGCTGTCTTAAATTCTTTGGCAAGGCCCTGACAGTTTCTCTTGTGTTCAACTCTACAAAAACATGATTTTACGAGGTGATTGAATGGGAAGGCAGTCTAGGCCACATGAATTTACTGAGCCACTCTCAAAATACACAACAGCTTCTACTAAGTTTAACAAGTTATCTCTTTGTACATACTTAATTGAGCTTCAGAAATATTTCTGAAAGCTATTGAAAGCTGTGCTGCTGCGCGGCATCACATAGCTTCTGGGTGGGAACTACCTTCCGCTATTGTGCCGAGTGCTATAAATGGGAACTTTGGTACTGACAGTGATGGGTAAAAGAGCCTTGAAATTACTCAGCAACCCAATTTAACTGCACTGGATGGGTTTCACTAAAACTGTAAGGTCCAAGGGAGAAAGCCTCTGCTCCCACTCTACCTGCTCAGTTCCCCTGCTCAACACTTGCAGGGTGGTGGTGGCTAATCGGGGTAGCTTTTTTCCACAGCCTTTTACAGACTTCTGATGAGTCTGACATGCTGGCAAGTGAGCAAACAAGAAAACCCTGAACAAAAAGGATGCTCTTTCCAACTCTCTGGCTTTTGTCAATACAGCAGTACCTCGGCCCCAGCCAGGCAGGGAGTTAGACTGTGAGCTGGCCTCGTGGATCTTGATCCAGGTCCTGAAGATGCCAAGGGGGAGTTGCTGCGTGGATGTGGGAGGTCTGCCTGCAAGCAAGACTGCTCTAGCCGTTCATGTACACAGTTAATCCAGGCACAGGCTGAATGAGGTCTGCACTCTGTCACACACTGCTAGAGCAGGACAGGAATGACATGCAGTTAGCCCCTAGGTAATCCATGTTCCCAGGGACTGGCTACTGCAGTCATGAAACTGCTGCTTGTATTATATCATGTTTGTTTTTACAGGTGACTGGGAAGAAAGCCGATGATAAAGAGACTGGCAGCTTCCTCCCTGAGGACTTCAAAAATGGGGAGTATGAAGCTGCTGTAAGATTAGAGAAGCAGGAGGACCTAAAGACAGTCTCTGAACACTCACTGACCCGAGGTGATCTGGCTTATGAGAAGGAGAAAAAAATAGAAGCAGAGGTAGGCTCTTGGGTTTTGTGCTTGGCTTTTTATTATCCTGTGTGCACTCTCTGTTGCAGCCCTTGAAGTTTTGCCTCTTTCTAAGTTAGAAATACATGCATGATGAGCTAGATACACCCTTGGGAGATCACCATGAAAGGACGTTGGTCTAAAGTCCATTGAAGGTCATGGAGATCTGCTGAATCCTGTAGCCTATGGATGCAGGCAGTAACACTGTGAAGCAGAACCCCAAACTCCCCCTATAATGTTTGACTGAAACCCTGGGGGCTCCCTCCTGCCCAGAGTCCTCTGCTGCTAGCTGTCAGTAAACAGGGGGAGCAATCATAGCCAGTAAGACACCTTCAGCTTGCTCACCTGATGACTGCCACCAAAAATAACTAATCCAAGATAGATATGAGTGCATTTCTGAAGCCAGAAGCCTTATCTACCATGAAAAAGTTCTTTTTTATGAAAACACTGCATTATGCTTACTAGCACATTTGGGAAAAACAATTACAAATGAAAGTGATACTGGTCTACAGAAAAGTACCATTTTATATTCCTGGAGCATGACAATTCTCCCTATATCCCTAAGAACTGATGCTTTTTTCCTCCCAAATACAGTAGCTGTAACTTCTTAAATTCTTTGGTGAATAAGCAACCAACTGGCCTAAAAATTTAAAGTGATTTGGGAATGAAAGAGTCTAACTAGCTGGGGACATAAGACTCTGTTCTGAAAAAAGAAGGGTGGGAAAGTGAGCCTCAGAAATATTAAAATAAACACTACTGACCTTCACCTTCAACAGAGATCGTTACTTGCTACAGAGTTTTTTGAGTTCCTCCAAAACAGGGTCCTAAGAACTTTTTGGGTTTCCAGCTGATCCACAGTCCACTCAGCAAACGTAAGTATTTTTCATTAAGTCAGTGATCTGCAGATCAAACCCTAAATGCAGAGAAGAATAAAAAGAAGAGGTGGAAGTAAGTGGAATAAGAATTCAGTTGAAAAAAATGTATACCATATGACAGGGTCTCACCAATATATTTACCCTTAATGATACCATGGGACAGAACGTCATCCGTATTCCCCCTGAGTTCCCCCTTGTTTGTGAATCCCCCTCCTGAAGTCAAGGACACCTCATGGTACCTGGGATCTCAGTTCAGGCAACACATTTGCCCTTGATGTTAGCAGTGCCCCACACTGACTTCATGCAGGGATGCTTTTTACAAGCAGGCTTGAAGAAGTCTTAAACATTTATTGAACTGCCCCTCCAAGGATACTGAGGACATTCTTTGTAGCTTACCAAAATGTAACACTGGCTGACTGAAATGCTAAGAATGGTATAAACCTTGCTCTTCACTTAAGGGTATATTTTTCATCAAAGAGGATTAAGTTACAATAAATCAGGGGCTGCATCATGAAAGTGGTTGAAGAAAAAACGCTTGGTGGAAGTCAGCTAAAACTGCAGGGGTTTCCCAGCTCTCATAAGCTGCACATGAGATTTCTTAAATTGTTGGGCCAGAAAGGACTGCAGAGTTGCTTTGACTCCTGGCCTAAATTCATGCTATTTAAGCCCACAACATATGGCTAAAGCAGCATTTAGAAGGAGGTCCAATGGTGTATGAAAACCTATAGATGATACAGAGTTTCTCACACACTTAGTAACTTATTCTAATGGTCAATTAGCCCTAGCTGTATAAAAAAAAGACAACTTATTTCAAAGTTCATCCAGTCTTAACTGAATTCTGCTGAATAGTATCACACACTGTCCTGCGACTCTGAAAGGGATAGGTAGTCACACTCGGCTCAGCTTGCTGGCTTCCCTCATTTATTTCAGCTGAAGAAGAAGAAATTAGAGGAGAGGTCAAAACTTGAAAACTTGGAGGATCTTGAAAAAATTATTCAGCTGAAGAAGAAGAAAAAATGCAAGAAAGTGAAAGCGCCCATTTTAAAGGAACCTGAACCAGAAGTTATTGTAAGTTATTTCAAAGTACCTTCTTCTGGGAAAGCATTGATGGGGTTTTGTGCCACACACATTTATGCCCTGTATATTTCTTTTCATCAGACAGGACCAGTGGATATACCCACATTCTTTAGAGCTGCACTGGAGAATAAGTTGCCAGTAATTGAAAAATACCTGTCAGACAAAGGGGATCCAAACATCTGTGATGAGGTACAATTTTCCTTCTTACTGCTAAGCCTACTACAGAAGAGAGGTTATTGCAGTGCAAAAATAACTTTTACCACTAGGTTTTGTAGCTTCTACATTTATGAGGAGAAAAAATGGGTGGGGGGAAGTAAATAAATGCTGGAAGTTTTGTAATGATAAAGGGGCCACTGGGACCCTTTGAAGTAATATTACCTCAAAAGAATCTTTATATTTAAAAGAAAGCTGTTGGTGCCCAGGAAACCCTGATTTTCTGTAACTGGTGATCTTCGATTGCTACAGATGAAGAGACAAGAAATTTGTCTGCAGAATGACAAAAAAAGTGATGCTGCCTGCCCTCATACTCCATAATGCATAAGCTGCATTTGAAAAACACAGTGTAGCATGTTGGACGGGGGAACTCAACAGGCATCATTTTAAATTTGAATGCCATACTGCAGATCTTTCTCACACCCTTTAAAATGCTGGGTAGGCAGCTCTCAGCTATCAGGATGCTATTAAAATTTAGCAGATTTCAGGTCTCAAAAGTATTAGCTCTTGAAAATGAATCAGCATGAAGCATGTATTTGCCATCATCCTAGGGAGGAGGGGAGAAAAGATTTAAAGATATCTCTGTGCCATATTTAATATCTGACTTTGCACCATTTTAATTGCCAGTACAAACGCACTGCATTGCACAGGGCATGCTCTGAAGGACATCTAGAGGCGGTGAAAAAGTTGGTGGAAGCTGGAGCCCAGCTTGAACAGAAAGACATGGTATGCACATCAGCTCACACTTCTTTCAAAAAACTGTTTTATAAGTGCCAAGAGATGCACTTACAGAAGTGCTTCATATAGAAGAGGAGCATTAAAAGGCCTGTAAGTTTATCCTTAAAATAACACTGTTGAGAAGAGGTTTCAGGAGGGGGTGTTTGCCTCCCTTTGCCAAAATGGTCGCTGGAAAACACAGGAAGCAGAGGAACAGTAGACTGCCACAAACAACAAAGCCTAACTTAGGGTAAGAGAGCTGAGGTCAGGCTACCACTTCAGCCTGCTAGCAGGTGGTGGAGATACCACTGTCCCACGCATGTATCCAGGGCTCAGTGCAACGCGTACATTCTTCTCCACCAGGATTTCAAGGCTGCACTCCAGAGAGACCCCTGCTTTTCCAGAATGCCAGCCACAAGGGTAGCTGAGTATCAACAGCTTCTGCAGCTGTTTTTTTGCTTCTCCTCTCTGACCTCTTCCTCCCTTTGCTAAACAGTTGGAACAGGCCAGCCTTGTTCCTCCTCGCTTAACCCAGCAGCGCCTGGAGTGTGAGAAACAGGAGGAACAACAGGCAGAGCAAGACCTTCAAGGGCCATTCCACCCGTCCCAGCACAGCTGAGGGCAGAGAAACAGAATCTTGTAGAGGAAAAGGGTTCTAATTCACTTTGTGGACCTGCTTCAGTTTGGTCGTTTTTTTTCTAAAAAGGAGAACTGTTCTTTCCCTTGAGCTTCATTTTATTTTCTATGCATTTTAGAACCCCAAAGGCATCAAATAAAAAATATTAACTAGCACATACCAGCCACATACCTGGCTAAAGATAACTTCTAAGTTCACAGAATAGACAAAACACATCCTCTCTCACAGCAGCTTTGTCAAGATCTCTGTCTTTAAGAGCAATATGCAGCAAGTGTGAAGAGTGAGAAACTCACAGAACTAAAGAAATTAGGGCAAAATAAGAAAAGCTGTTACTAGCAACAACTCAGTGATCACAGTGAAGTGCATTAGGTTAATTTGCATGAAAACTATTTTTGGATTAATTTAGAAATTCGATCAAAATGTTTTGTGTTTTTTTGGTTTTTTGGTTCTTTTTTAATATAATGATGAATTAAATTAGTTTCCATTTGTTTTTCCTGCTGCAGCTTGAATCTACAGCCCTGCACTGGGCATGCCGTGGGGGGAACCTGGATGTTCTGAAATTCTTACTGGACAAAGGGATAAACAGAAATGCAAGAGACAAGGTATGTGTTTCTGGGACTCTAGAGCTTTTTAAATTGGAGATGAAAAGCTGACCCTTACTCCAAGTAGATAATTTTTGGCAGCCATTCTTGAAGCAGTCTTTACCTGTTCCATGCCACTGACTGCTTTCTCCTCTCACCTCTCAGCTGCTCAGCACCCCTTTGCACGTGGCTGTGAGAACGGGTCAGTATGACTGCGGGGAGCACCTCATCGCCTGTGAAGCAGATCTCAATGCCAGAGACAGAGTAAGTACCAACAACTTCTTACCTGTCAGCTATCAGGTAGCATCAAGCTGCTGCCTGCCTCAATAGTTCCACGTGCCTGTAAAAACCCCAGCTAGGCAGTTGGGGCTGGACCATGGTGCTGGACCGGCGGGACTGACACTGTGGTCCATGTCTTGTGCCTCTAGGAAGGAGACACACCGATGCATGATGCTGTGAGGCTGAACCGCTACAAAATGATCAGGCTTCTGATTCTGTATGGAGCAGATCTAACTATAAAGAACTGTGTAAGTAACAGCAAAAAAATGCAGTAATTCAAAACGCTTTAGAATAAGTTTCCCTTCAGAGCAATTTCATAGGTTTCAAGGCCGAGAGCGACCATGGTGAACAGACTTAATTAGATCACTCCACAGTTAATTAAAGCAGAGCTGACACAGGGAAAGTATAACTTGGGTGAGGTACGCGAGAAGAGGAAAAACCAGTACCTCTTCTAAAACCAGAACCCATCAGCTTCAACTTAAAACAACATCTTTCTATGATTTATTTTAATTACACATATCATATGTTGAAAAGATATAATGCACAGACACTTGCTCTCTGCAAAACTCCTGGGTTTCAACCTCCACTGAGACAACAAAGATCTTAGCTTGTCAGAGAAATCTCCTTTCTGTTAAGCCCACAGCTGATGGTGAGCCCAAGCACTACATCTGGATGACTGGCTGTTAACCTGACCATTGGGCAACAAATCCCCATGGCTCAGCAGAGCTTCAATTTAAGAAGCCCCACACCTGCCTGTTTGCTCACAGCCACCACAACAGCAGCAGCAGATGCATTGCTGGAGCTCTGTGACGACTTGTTAAGATACAGCACATCACAGACCCTTTCTCCCAAACCAAGCAGCAGTGGGATGGACTGTGGGTTATACCACTGCCAGTCAATGTTTTTGATTGGCAATTAATCAAAACTTCAGGGGGCAAGGAAGAAACCAGTCACTGCAGCACTTTGCACCCCCTATTCTCTGCCCACACTCTCCAAAGCAGGGCCACTCCTGGCATTATCCTTCATCAGAGTATGAAAATGATGAAAGGTACAGCCCCGAAGGCCAAAGACTTGCTCTCTCAGGCTTTGTCTGCACACAAAAGTTGCTCCTACTTAATTTAGATGTGGTTCGTAACCTAATTAAACGAGTACAAACTCTTATCTGAATTCTCAATTAAACAGAAGAGTGTCTTACTGAGGTTTCATCTAAATGTATTTCTAATCAGTTTAAACTAGATCAGAAGAAACACCTGCTAGTCACAGTATTTGCTACTATGGCTTAGACTCACTGAAAGTCAGGGAGATTTCATCATGAGTCTGACCAGGACTGGGACTAGATCTGCAGAGCAAAGGGACTCTGATCTCAGGGAGGCAAGAGTAAGTCGGACCCTGTGCGCGCAGAAAGGTCTCACATCAGGCAGATGCACTGTACAAATATTTAGGGAAGAACAAAGGACTCCGTAATCACTGACTGAAGTTAAATCTTGCTTCCTCTGCTTTTTTAACCAGCAAGGGAAAACCCCTATGGATCTTGTTCTTCAGTGGCAGAATGGCACCAAAGAGATATTCAACAGCCTGAAAGACAATTCCTACAAGAGCGTCCATCTAGGCAAGTTATGAAGAGAGAAACCAGACCGCGCTCTTTTTGCTGCGTTTAAATGCTTCATATGAACCTGGAGGAAAATAGCCCTGAACATAGTATTTTTATTGAAAATATTTATGGTACTGGATTATTTGAGGCACCTTCATTGAAAACTGCAAAATGAACATGCAAAGAAATTATTTTAAAAGGCAGTTGAGTGTTACAATTCCACTGGTTCTAAAATGGCTTTATTTATTACTATTTATTATTTATTTATTTTAAAAGTAATTTTTAATGATTCTCAGTATTATTTTAGCTTTTTTTTTTATAGAGCTTTACCTCCTAATGCAATCTTTGCCAGCAACATAAATCCTTTTGTCTTAGATGGCAGTATTTTCAACTACATTAGCAACTTCCCTCAGGCCTTCCAATAGCTCTAAATAGCGAATACTTGCAACTGTTGCCTTGCCTCTGCCAAATTCTCACTATTAAAATAATATGTTAAATGAGTGGTGATATGTGGAAGTGCAATGGAAGAAGGTGTACTGAGGTGCCAAGTGGATTTAAAGAAGCAGTTGAGTAACAGGGTTTGCACAGGGTTTGGCAATCATGGTTGATAAAGAGCTCGAGGACAGAGCTCCAACCATCATGTAACCGTTTGGACTGTGGGATTCAGGTGCAATGTTATTAAGGTGAAAGGAGGCAGTATCAGGAATGTGAATTTTTTTTAAGCTAGACTACTACGAAGTCTGATGATTAAAGAATGCAAAAACAGATCATGTATATTTGTAAATTTGTACTGCTTTTTCTGTACATTTTGTACTGACCTATTTCAGATTAAATAAAGAGTGGTTCTTTTTATTTGCTGGAGTGGGCTATGGAGTAGTGAGCATGCATAGGGTAATTCTGTCTCTTTCTTTAAAGAAAGTTCACATCTTGGTCTTGTAAAATTCTTAAAAACTCAAAAAAAAGAAGTCTCAGCTGCCTAGAGCAGCCAGTCCTTGAGCTACCTCCTTGCCACTGTTAGATAAATGCCATCTCTTAATTATTTTGTTAAATGGAAACACATATACAAAAGCAAAAACACAGTACTTGAGTAGCTAGGAAAACAAAGTTACAGTTTTATTAGAGTTTGATCTAAAATCTCAGTTTCTCAGCAAGTCAGTACTTACTATGTGGACCACAAGAGATACTTTCAGTTACCCAAGCCAAGGGAGAGGCAGAGTCCTGCTAGGAAAGGCAGGCACCTTTCCCTTTGCTTTAGCAGAAACAGAACAATCTTAACAGTGCCGCTAGCAGGGGCATCAATGTCCAATTTCATTGGGACATTACATGCTGCATTCAGTTAAAATTCTAATGCCCTATGGCGTGGCCTCCCAGCAAAATACACCACAGGCTCCCACACACCTTCACCAACCCATGTCAGTTGGCTTCTAGCCAGCAGGCTTTACAGTCTGGCCAAGGCAATGTCCAGGGCAATGAGGTGGGGTCAGGAGTGGACAGTGATGAATAGTTGTTACTGGAGTGCCAATTTTGGAGACTAAGTGAATTTACAGAAACCCCACAGAGGAGCGTGCGGAAGAAACACCTATTCTGTCTGCAGCCAGCTATCCTAGACTTAAGGCCAACAGCCTCAGACAGATGAGACTTTTCTCACACAAGGACCATAACTCACGCGTGTCACCTTGCCAGCTGTAGGCTTTATTTGTGAACACACTCTTCTCCATAAAAATTACAGCACACCTCTGCTCACCGCCCCTGCAAGCCACTACTTCACTACTCATTTCTGCACAATTACCCAGACACTAGGAGCATGCTTTGCAGGAAACAGAAATTACATCAGTGCTGGCTAATTCGGTTTGTTTATCATCCTAACCGAGAAGCAGTTCAATTGTTCAGGCACCGAAGTGGCCAGAACAATGTGCTTCAGGAAACTGGGGGAGAAGAAACTTTTCAATCAGTTCCTGAAACACTGCATCTATGTAAAGGGCAAAGATACAGACTGTAAATTTTTTAAATCAAGTCAAACAAGTAGCAAGAAGGATCTCTAGCATCTAGAGACAAAAGCCTCTTTCCATAAGCTAGTTGCCAAACAACTTCTGTCATGCTCAAGGTAGGTTATTCTCTGGCCAAGGCAAGATAATATGTCATTCAGAAAATTGCACCAGACAAACACATTTTGCTGCTTCTCTGGTTAGAGCATCATTTTGGAGGTAAGTCCATAAATGACAAACTACTCTCTGTGTGTGTGTATATATAAAAAAATATATATATATTTTACATCCCAATACCTATAATAAAAGACTCAAATCACAAAGTCAACAAGTAAAATAATAACACAAAGGAAAAATATTTTACTATTTGTTGCATGCAGCAAAAGCTGTTGTGACTTATACCAGCATTATATAGAACTGTTAGTCTACTGAGAACTTCATCTACTCTGCTCAGTCCAGTTACTAAGAGCTCGGAGATGACCCACTGCAAGATTTCTGCAATATTTTACATGCTACAACTTCCACTTCACAACTTGTCGTCAGATGGAAATAGAGAACTGGAATATTCACAGTAAAACTGGCTCAAGAGCATCTTGAGTACAGTAGCTTACATAATTTTTATATTGGTTTAATCAAAAGAAAAACTTCAGTCAACAATTTGGAAGAGCTCTGAAAATGTTCTGCTGATTATAAATTTTATGATTGCTTTTTTGGCAGCCAGATTAGGTTTACTGAGGCATTAACAGGAAGGAAAACGAAAGGCAGGAGGCAGCAAAATGAACACTCTCATAGACAACACAGACAGACCAGGACATAAAGAAGGAAACGATGCAGTAAAAATGTGACGTGGATGACTGCTCAGGCCTAGGTGAGGCAGCTGTTATGCTGTGACTGCAACATACCATGCTGAGCACACATTCAGCGTAACCTTGGCCTCTTCCTTCCCATCTGCAGTAACCATCTCACATTACTGTTTGGTTTTAAGAGCTGCAGGACAGGCATGGCCTTTGGGATGCATGTCTGGCAAGTCAGGTCAGTCAGTCCTACTGTAACACAAATCCAAGATACCTCCTAGCAAGTGACAGATCCTGGGATCTTCTTTATAGCCACTGATCATGAAACAGAATGGGAAGCAGATTTTTTTTTTTACTGCACTATTATTCTTCACAGGCCAGTGAAGGTAAACTTAATCTCCTGGCTTGCAGTTGTAAGGTTTAGTAGAGATGTGTTTAAAACTTGAGAAACCGTAAGAGCTAGACTTTGAAGGAGTACATTTTTAGAAACTTTTTTATTAAAAAAGGAATGCACTTGTACAACTGAAAATTTCCATAAGTTAGAAATGTTGTGTTGAGTTTGCACTAACTTCAGAGGACCTAAGACAGGGTGGAGAGGCAGTCTTCTGACCTTGGCCAGAAGCCCAGCATGACCTTTCAGACGTGGTGAACTCCATTCAGCAGTCTCATTCCCACAGCTTTCCTCACTTGAACACTGGAAGAATAATTCTTCTCCAGGCTAAATAAAGCAGTAAGGGAGGAACTGGGCCAGCTGGAGGGTGGGGGAAGACTCAACACTGGGTAGAGATAGGATGGAGGCTTCTGTTGGCAATTGGTTCAGTCCTCAAGCTTGAGTCTTAACTTTTTTGCAGGCTGGCAGTGGTGTTTCTTCCTCCTCAACCTTGCGGGGCTTCTTCACTGTGTACACTACCCCACAGGCACTCTTCCGAGTTTCTGGAATATACAAGCAGAAGTTACAGTACCTCAAGAAAAATGACACTAATGCATTTAATGCATCCTCATTTCAGGTGTCCATGCCCCAAAGCACAGTTCAACATGTTTAACAGCCAGCCAGTCAGCACACACAGTAGGTAAGCAACCTGCATGGGCAGAAGCTGGGGATAAGCTGCATTATGGAGTGAGGAAACTAAAGGGGGAAATCGATGGTGGGTGTAAACTACAGCAAACATAAGGGAAAACTGAGATCTGCAGGAGTTGAGGGGCTCCAGACACACAAAACCATAGGAAACCAGGCTTAATCAGTTCAATAGTCACAGAAGGACACATTCTTGAAGCACTGTCAAAAGCATTTCTGAGCAAAACATACTGTTCTTAAAAAAAAAAAAAAGTATTCACATACCCCAGGATTCTTAAACAGACTATGCTGGCACAGCTATATTGGCAGAGGCTCCCCTATACATACCAAGGAAGTGGCTTTATGGTATTCAAGAATATTTTAATTTACAAAACCCTCAGCATTACCATAGAATACTACTGTGTGATGTTATCAAACTCCTCACATGTTTGCCAAACCACCTAGTGAGCCCAATCCAATTTCATTACTACTCGTGGGAGGCTTCTTTGCAAAATTTGAGGTATAAGATATTCCCTACAAATCCTCAGTTAGCAAAGAGGCTCTGCAAGAACCTTGCCAAAATATATTGACTTATTCTGTGCCAGTATTCCTTGGGGGACAGGGAAACGACATCTGCTATTTAATTTCACAGATAATATAGATGACAGTCTTGAGAAATTCCACATGAACTTGACAAAAATTCTTCCAATACACTGTCTCTATGTAGATAAGTAGCAGGCTGGAGAAGGACCCTGTTCACAGAAATGCCCTCTCCAAGAGATCAAAGCCACCTGCTGTGAATTACAGCAGGTTCAAAGACCCACCTCTACTGAAACAAGAGATGCAAACCAAATTCTACTGTGCATTTGAAACTTAGAGCAACTCAAGTTGTTGGGAAGGTGACTAGAAATCATATCTACCCAAGAAACTTTGACAGAGGCAGAAATTAAGAGCTAGATGTGACTACTCAGTCACAAAGTTAAACTGCCATCAGAATAAACAAAAAAACCCCAACATCAAGAAACACTAATACCCAATAAATTAGCATGTGAAAGGGAGGGTAGAGATGGAGAAATTGGTGCTACAGTGGAAAGCAAGGGTCTAAACTGATTGCTAGAATGCAAATTGTGGCATCTCTTTGCTGCACTGACACCAGGACACAAAATACAACTGAAAACCTTTTGATTTCCAGTGCA